AAAAAAAAAAATAGAGTGGTATTGGGAGTGAAAAGAAGCTTTTTTTGGAAAAGGTTTTGTCTCTAGGTCTCAGGCCTTTATCAAAGGCTTCTGGCCTTTGAGGTGATATTGCAGAGCAATATTTCAGAGGTGTTGCTGCCCCACTAAGCAGCTGGGCTGTTATCTGCAATGATGGCCTCCCCATGTCTGGTCAGCCCTCACTCACCTGGATTTGGTTCTCTTGTCTCATCCCTCAAAATTTTCCAGGGCTCTTTCCCTTTCTCCAATGAAGAGAACACATCTGGCTGATAAATGCAAAGTCCTGCCCAGAAAATAAGAAATAGGTAAGGGTTCCATAATTTGCATCTAGTCCCTTGGTTAGTAAGGAAAAGAGACAATTACAGGAATGACAAGAAAAAGGGATAAACAATTTCTACAGGATGGGGAAGATGGAGGTGTCCACTGATTATGACTATTGTGCAAAGCATAAACCATTTTCCTGGAAACAAAGGTCAGAAATTCACCTGGATATTTGAAAGATAATCCAAAAATTCACAATATAGAAAGCAGGAATTTCTGAGGTCAAATTCTGAATCTTACCCAGGGAGACCATGCTGCTGTAGTTCTCCAACATCACACCTCTGTACAAATCCCTCTGTTCCAGGTCCAGACACTCCCACTCCTCCTCAGAGAGCTCTATAGCCACATCCCTGAGCATTATCAACTGCTGAAAGGACAAATCCAACTATTAATGGATAAATGCAATCTTTTAGCTGGAAGGGGAAAGGATGGAGAAGAGCACTGCATGTAGTGGGACATACACTAAGGGAAAAACCGACGTTTGGCTGCCTGTGGCTTGGGGGAATGACATAGGAGTAAGTGTGCCTAAAGCCGAGTGCCCACATGCTCTTAGAAATTCTGCTGCTCAGTCACCACATCCTTAGTCCTTCAAATAACAAACACCAAGACATTAGGATGGCAGACAGAATAATGGCCATGATAGGAGTTTTTTGTTGACACCACTGAGCGGCTATACCAGCCTAGAATAACTAACTCCATATTTATGATGTAAGAAAAGTTAGGGTTTTGTTGGCTGTTTTTTGTTTATTTCTTAAGCTACTACTTTTTGGTTGAATTTTCTATTAGTTTAAATTGAGAGAATTCTTAGGAGATACACTGTCTAAGTGAATACTATTTTCTGTGAAGAAATGTAGGATTTCTAGGCTCTCTGCTAAGTGGCTGACAATCAGCAAATGTTTCATTCATATTTCCTGTTAAGATCCCAGATCCCTGTGAATTCAACCTCCCATCATGTCCTCTAAGTAAACAGCAAAGTGCCACATACTGAAATGAATACCAACCAACACCAGCTCCCATCTTGACTAACTGAAACACTCCATCCTGTGGAGTAAATAAAAGCCTTCATGTAGTGTGTCCCCTTTAACCACTCAGTTCTACCTTGTTAAACCACGGTTTTGAAATGAAAGTCTCTAATGTACCCTTTAAAAGTATTTCTCCTCCTTCAGTACTCTGCCAGAAGACTAGGACACGGTAGATAGTGAATGCCCTGTTGGATAGATTTGGGAATATTGGTTGGAAAAAAAGAGGGACATCTAGGGAAGGCATTGGACTGTTTCACAACCACCACGTATCACATTGAATAGTGACTCGGGCAAGCAGTTTAAGCAACAAAAATATTCACATGATGACAAATGAGTTATATTTTTGGGGAGAGGCAGTTCCAACTCACATGGGCCATGACTTAAAATTCCGAGAGTCGACCAGTCTTCTGCTGGATTCTTCTCTTTCTGTAGCAGCGTGCTGGGAAAGCAGAACTAGAGGGAAAGAATCATGAGAGGTCAGGCTTTTCTTAGAGCTTTCAAATGGACAAATGGAAATGCCATTTTCTTCCTTGGAGGAAGGTAAGAAGGAGTCTGAAGAAACCCTGGCCCTATCCAAAACCTAAGATACTCAACCAAAGCAAAATGGAGTTTCAGTCCAATTAGTTATGCTGAAATCATGATGTGGATCTGGATGTGAGCTAAGGCCATTCGGACTTGTCTTAAATGTTCCTTAAGACCATACAGGCACCATTGGACATCCCTAGGGACATGCCAAGAGCAATGGAACAGTCCCATATGGGGCCCAGGTATTTGCCCAGGGCCCTCCTGTGTACAGCATCTCTCATTTCCTCCAAGTCTAACAAAGTCTATGATACCTAGTGACTCATTTTTATCCAAAGATTCGAAGAAGGGCCATACCCCAAAACTAAAGGCAATTTTGAGGCCACAAAAACTCTGACTAGATTCACCAGACATTGAGTGAGATGACTGGCACGCACAGACTAAGCTGTCTTCATTGTGGCACAAATAGGCCCGTGCACAGTCTTTGGCCCAGCCAGCCTATCAATTACCATTAGCCTCCAGGCCTGGCACTCTCCGGTTTTTGTGATTTCTTGCAACATCCTTACAGCCTCCTCATTCAACATAAAGCCTTGGAGAAAGGGAGAATATGCTTCTGATAATTTATTCCCACTCTAGAGTGACAACAACAGAAATAATGATTGAGCAGTATTATGTTCTGGGTACTTTGGGTTTTTGTTTTTTTTTTTTTTTTACTTAGAAATATGGAAAATTTTAAATATAAATAAAAGTAGATAAAACAGCATTATAAATATTCATGTTCTCTTTCCTCAGATTCATCAATGATCAATTCATATCTCTATTAACCGTTATCCTCACGTCACCTGTGAAAGTCAGTATTAGCCTCACTTAAAAGATCAGGAATTCGTCACGCTCAAATTCAGATACTAAGTTGTGGCATAGGTTTGCTGAACCCAAAACTTTTTCACTTTGAATACTGGATCTTCTTACCTTTGGATTTCAGGATTTCTCATTTTATCGTGTGAATGATGAGCTGAGCCTTGCCTTTATGGGAGCAGACTAAGCTCTCTGCATCCTGTTTTATTGACACTGAGCAGCAGGATGGCTTTTGCATTAAAGGAACTCAAGATGGAAGAAAAGTTGGGTTTGGTGAGTAGTCGGTTTTGCAAAGCAAATGTTTTTATAAAAAAATATATTGAAGCCTCCCTGAATCTAGCTTTGGGGACCCAGATAAATATGTTGCAGGACCTAATGTCAAAGTAAAGAAGCAATTACAATACAGTAAAAAAAATGTTATTATGGATATAGAAGGAGCCCAGGAGTTCAAAGGAGCCCTAACCAAAACTAGTTTGTAAGGGAAAACTTCCTATAGGAAATGGTGCTTCAGCTGAGTCTTGAAGGGCTCACCAGAGAAGACAGGGCAAGGCAGGGGGTGGATTTCAAAGCAGAGAAAACAACATGTACCAATCAAACAAAGGTATCTTTGTGCATTCAAGGAATACAGAGTGGGAAGAAAGACTAGTGGCAGATAGGAACGTATAGAGCAGGGATCAGATTATGAAAAGCCCTAAAAAATAGGGCACAGAGTTTGGACCTTATCTCAGAAGTAATAAGAAAGCATTCTGCATTTTTAAAGTCAGGTTAAAAAATATTTCTAATTAGAGATACAACAAAGTTGGCCATGAGAGGGTAGAGAAAAGACTGATTGATATACTCAATCTGAGGGGTTCATGAAAGTATCACGTAAAGCATGTAGTACTAATTGGGCCTAGGAGACAGGACTGTGGGACTTTAAGTGCTTTCCAAGAAGAGTGAAAAGCTGCAGAAAAAACTGGACTAAAATATATTTTGTGCTTGGGAAGCAGAAAGAACTTGAGAATGACTATTATGTAGTTTTAAGAAAGACTAGTTCTAATCCTGACATTCCTCCTCCTGCAAACCATGCAGAGAGAAACAAAAGTAAATCCGAACCACCAGGAAACCGAGAAAACTGACAAGACTCCCAATTATTTGGAAATGTGGCCAAAAGCAAATGAACTAACAGAACCTGTGTGAAAGCCACAGTGATACAAGGAAAAATCAGAAATATTCATTTCCACAAAGAGTAGGTCATAGCCTGAATGGAAGCTGCTGAGAGCAAGAATGATAATAACAAAGAGGTGGGTAAAATGAGACCTGTAA